TGAGATATTTTTTGAGACTTTCCAGTGCTTCGGTGTACTCGGAACTCCATTCAAATGCTGCCATTTTCTTCAAAAACTGGAAGAAGGGCTTCATCCAATCTGAAGATTTGCTGATGAACCGATTCAGTGCGACCGCCATTCCGGCCAGTTTTTGTAGCTCATTAGCCTTTGCTGGTACTTCAAGATCTTGTATTACTTTTATTTGGCCCGGATTCGCCGCAATTCCTCTGTGAGTGACCATATATCCCAAGAACTTCCCTATTCCTACCCCGAAAGCGCATTTCGAGGCATTGAGGCGAAACTGATGGTTTTTAAAGATGTCAAAAACTTCTCTCAAGTCTGTAAGATGGTCTGTAGCGAACTTGCTCTTGACTACCATATCATCTATATAAGCTTCCATGGCTTTTCCCAGTTGGTCCTTGAACATCTGAGTGACCATCCGCTGGTAGGTCACCCCGGCGTTCTTGAGGCCGAACGGCATCGCTCTGTAGCAGTAAGTTTCTCTCGGAGTGATAAATGCTGTCTTTTCTTGATCCGGACCGAACAGTGGTATCTGATGATAACCGCTATAAGCGTCCAGAAAACTCATGCGTTCATGCCCTGCTGTTGAGTCTACTAGTTGATCAATGCGAGGCAGAGGAAAACTATCTTTAGGGCAGGTTTTGTTCAAGCAAATGAAGTCAACGCAAACTCTCCATTTTCCGTTCTTCTTCTTGACTACAACTGTGTTAGACAACCATTGCGGGTACTGAACTTCCCTAATTGCTCCTGAAGCTAGGAGTTTTTCGACTTCGGCAATTACTGCTTCGGTGTGCTCGACTGAGGCTATAAGCGTCTAGAAAACTCATGCGCTCATGCCCTGCTGTTGAGTCTACTAGTTGATCAATGCGAGGCAGAGAAAAACTATCTTTAGGGCAGGCTTTGTTCAAGCAAATGAAGTCAACGCAAACTCTCCATTTTCCGTTCTTCTTCTTGACTACAACTGTGTTAGACAACCATTGCGGGTACTGAACTTCCCTAATTGCTCCTGAAGCTAGGAGTTTTTCGACTTCGGCAATTACTGCTTCGGTGTGCTCGACTGAGGATCTCTGACTTTTTTGCACAATGGGCCGAGCTGAAAAGGTTGATGTTGAGCTTGTGGCAAGCAAATTCTGAGTCTAACCCTGGAGTATCATATGTTGACCATGCGAATACCTCGATATTTTCCCTCAGTAGTTCCAGCAGCTGAAGTTTCTCATCAGCGTCTAGCGAGGTACCGATAAGGAAGTACTTTTCTGGGCCATCCCCTTTTACCAAGACTTTCTCCAAATCCTCTACCATCTTTTCCTCTGGGTTCCCCCTACATCTTCCATGACTGGCTGTTCGGCCACTTCTACCGTCTGTACCCGATTACAGAGCTGCTTTGCCTTTAATGCTGCCATGAAGCAATGTTTGGACGCAACTTGATCCCCTGAGATCTGCTCTACTCCGTGTTCCGTTGGGAAACGGATGAGCTGGTGGTAGGTTGAAGGGACTGCCTCCATTTGATGAATCCATGAGCGGCCAAGTATGACGTTGTAAGGGGATGGTGTATTAATAACCAAGAACTCTATCTGGAGGGTTTTTGTTCCCGCCACGACTGGTAACACTATTCTACCAAGCGGCCATTCTGGCTATGAATTGAAACCGACCAACGGGGCTGCCGCTGGGGTGAGGTGCTGTTCGGAGAGACCAAGCTTTCTGAACAAATCATAATACAATATGTCTGCTGCACTACCTTGATCTACTAAGACTCGTTTTACGTCAAATCGTTTCCCAATTCCCATAGTTATAATCAGTGCATCAGTATGTGGGTGTTGTATGCCTTCTAAATCTTTGCTAGTAAATGAAACAGTGCACAAGAGGGATTTGGGTACTGTATGTACCTTTTTCGATGCAAGCTTCATTAACATGACCCTCTGAATTTGCGCAGCCTTAGCGATCTCTTCTTTCAATGCCTCATCAGATTCCTGAGTCGCTGTCCCGTGGATCACATTTATTATCAACCGAGGTGGGTGCTCAACATTCGGTTCTGGTGGCAGGTTCCCCAGTTCGGCCACTTCCTTATCCTGATTAATATAATCCCTTAGGTGCCTGGCTGCCACTAGGTCTTCCAAGTGTTGCTTCAGTGCCCTGCAGTTCTGAGTCATGTGCCCTATGTCTTGGTGGTAGGTGCATCTGAGCTTCAGATTGCGCCGAGTTGGATCTCCCAACATTTTTGGCGGCCAAACAAAGAAGGGCTCTCTCTTGATCTTTTTCAGGATTCGATAGATTGACTCTTTGAATACAGTCACAACGGCTTCGTGGGATTTGGACTTATCCACTTTATTCACTGCAATCCGTCGGTGTTCTCCTCGATTTGTTCTCTTCTTGTGCCGAGTTGTTTGTTCTACTGACGCTACCTCGATGGGGATCTGATCATCTTCGAGGCGAGCGTACTGCTCAATCTTAGCACGCAAATCTTTCAAAACTGTGGCCGGGTGCTTGGTAAGTGATTGTCTCAGCTTACTTTTCGGGCGCAGACCATGTTTGAAGGACATAACGGCCATCTGTTCGCTGCACACATTTTCCTCCAGGTCATTGTACTTTTCCCAGTACCTCCTGCCATAATTGCGCAGCGTTTCCTCCTGCTCCTTTCGGAGACCGAACAGTGTATCCGGCTCTTTCGGGATCTTAGTGTTGGAGACGAACCTGGCTAGGAACTCTTCAGAGAGCTACTTCCAGCCATGGATCGATCCAGCGGGGAGACGATCGAACCATCGAAGTCTGGTTTCTCCCAAGCTGGATGAGAAGACTTTACACATCAGTGCCTCATCTCGGTTCCATAGGGACATCATCTGTCTATAATGGCTAATATGTGTCAGCGGGTCCGACTTCCCGTCGTATGAAGTGAACTTTGGTGGGGTGAATTTCTTTGGAGGTCTCATGGTCTCAATCTCCGGGGAGAATGGCGAAGAGACGAGTCTGTCCAGCGCTCGGTGTTCTCTGTGGTGAACAGTACGGTCCAGGTGATCCCGATGTTGTTCATTCTGCCTATTGCCAATCAACTAAGTACGAAGGTCCTGAGGAGGGTATTCAGTTTGTTGGCTAACTGTCTTCTGCCTCTTGGCCCTTCTTTGGTGTGACCCACGGGTGTGACTGCTTGCTGTCTCACTCTGTACTGGGATAGGCTGGCTTTGTTGCCCAGACTCATTCCTGGGGAACTTCTTCACTGGTGGCTCTCTAGATGAGCTTCTCCGTCGCAAACGAGAGGGCTCCGCTTCCGTCTTCTTTTCCGTCGGATCACCCAACACCCTCTTAAGTTGGGCTTTCAACTCCTGTATCTCCATCTCCATAGAGTCTATGATTCGATCTCTATAATCCTTTTCCAGAAGAAAGTTATGAGAAGAACCTCCAGTGAAGGGTAATCGATGCTTGACGGATTCAGGGGTTCGATTATTGTTTCCAGTTTGTTCCTCCGGGAGGAACTGAGTGCAGAGCTTAGAGATGGCGTGATCCACGTTCACCGTACCAATTGTGCGTACCGGATTCGGCACTAGATGAAAGTGGATCGGGGCTCCGCACTCGGTTGGACTATCCAGGGACTGAGGTTCTTGCCACAAGAAGTACCGTTAGAGCTGCCCCGTCGAGGTTGGCCAGATAACCCCTCTGGTGTAGGAATTAGTGATCGGAGAGAGAATGTATATTGAGTTGAGCTTATAGTTTTACTTGGAATCATTCAGTTACCTTTAATGTGAAGTTCATGTTGTATATATAGTGTTCCTTGCTTACTTTTCAAGGTGGGTTCATGGAGTTTGGATACTACCAGATGTCCTTTTAGCATTGCTCAAGGTGGGGACCACCTGGTAGTTGTCATTGAATGCATGTACTCATTGTAGTCATGCTGATAACAAACCATATTCCTTTGATTCAACAACTTCTGTGATTCTAGGTGTGAGGGACCAGCTGAGGTGGCAACTTATCCACACATTCACAACTTCCACGTTTTCTTGCGAGGTTTCTTTAGCTCGGTACCGTTGTGCCTCAGCTCGGCATCATTATGCCTCAGCTCGGCATCATTATGCCCCGTCTCGACTTTTTACAGGATCATTCATGGAGATGGGCTGATCCATTCGGATATCTTTGTGTGGGCTCGGCCCATTTTCTGCTCGGCCCATAGGTTCAGTCTCGCAGCTCGGCCTAGCCCAGCACCACGACTAGACTAGCCTTTCCACTGCGGGTTGGGCCCAAGTGCTTGAGGACCTGGGTGGACTGTTGATCATGAAGTTGGGCTCAATTGGTTTGTCCATATACTCATCCAGCCTACTTAAATTTAGACTTCAGTGAATTGAGCCGGCCCAAGGCTTGGACCCGATCCATTTCACATTTAACCCCTTCAATAATAATTATCCATCAAATGCGACGAGCATAAACCTTTGACATTACGATGAATTACAGTTTTGTTAGAAGGAAGTATCAAACTTGAACAGATCTTGAGCTCAAAACCTTGAACAGATCTTGGGCTCAAAACCCTGAGTCCGCCACTGATGGTGCTGGAATGGAAATAATAGACCTTTATTTATTTATGTGTAAAACCTAGAATAGACGTGGCCCTGTTTAATAGAATTTTTTTAAAGTTAAAAGTTAATTAAAAAGTAAAAGTTAAATAAATTATTTGTGCTTAAAAATTTATAAATAAAAATTATACTAAACAACCTCCTACAAATTCTTAAATTAAAATAAATTAGAATCACTTTTCAAAAACGTTCACTTAAAGTTAAAAAAAAAAAAAAAAAAAAAAAAAAAAACTCCCGTAGTCTACAGAGAAGGTGGGAAAACGTTGTTCCAATTTTCAATTATTATTATTTTTAATTCACACAACACAACACGACATGGGTATGAGGGAAAGCAATTAGCGAGCGAGGAGCCTCCTTCTGTTTTGTTTGGTTTGTTTTTGACTTTATTTGATTGTTGCCTTCCTGGCGTCTCAGGGTATTTTTTTTTTTCAGATTTGAGGGAGGGAGGGAGGGAGGAGGAGATTAGAGATTTGATTAGGTCGAAACAGCAAAATGGAGGGTGGAGAAGAAACATGGCAGAGTGAGGTTCAGCGTCAGCCTCACCCGTACGTTCCCAAGGATTTGAATTTGGCTGGTTTCGTCCCAGGCTTCCTTTCTCAGTCAACCATTCTCACCGTTTTTGGCTTCTCTTCTCTCCTCGTTTTTTCCCTCGTCTGGTTCCTCTCTGGTATTTCTTTCTTTCTTTTCACTACTACTACTACTACTACTACTACTACTATTTGTTACTCTTCTTCTTTTACTCATTTTACCCTCTGTTTGGATCGTTGGAATTTATGGACGACAAAGAAACACAATAAAGGTAACTGTTCATTCACATTTCTCTCCCATTTTTTCTCCCTTCTCCACAAATCTACTCAAATCCAATCCAAGATCCCAACACAGCCTTACTAAACCTTTATCTGCTCAATCAAAAGCTTTGAAATCATTGTGTTTTTATCTTTTTTTTTTTGGTTTTGGAGAAGATTGTAAGAACGTGATGCCCCCCAATCCATGACCGAAGGTAAACACCATAAGAAGATTAGGAGGTAGCCGCTCGAAAAAAAAGAAAGAAAGGTAGGTTAGGAGGTTAAAGTTGTACACTTTTTGTGTGTTCTCTTTTTGCTTAGAAGTTGGGATAAAAAAAAGCGTACTTTCCTTGATTTTTAATGATTGGCTTTTGGTACATTACCCGCCCAACTCAAACATTTGTCCTTTGGTATCTCTCAACTTTCTCACTGCTTGCCATTCTGCAATATAAAGTTTGTTACTAATAACCAATGAACTTTTGGAAATTGTTACCCATGGCTTGAAGGGTTGGTTGCAGATTCCATGGATCTAGTCCAAACTGTGCATTTGTTAGTTGGGAAAACCAAAATTGAAAAAAATTATCAAGATTGCCTAGCACCCATAGATCTTCTATGATTCTCTTGGAAACAAACTCCCTCCCCAACACAGAAAAAGATTTGTTTTTGTTTGTAAGCAAATGTTATGCATTTACTTTTGTAACTCTGAATTAACTTTCCCTTACCGTAAATATGTGAGAAATTTCTTGAAATCAAATCTGTCTACGTTTCCCCTCCGTTTTGCCTTGCAGAATAAAAGTCCTTTTAAGATTGTTCTTGGTTTACCCCTCTCACTATCCTATGGACCTTATCCCATTATCTTTTGATGCCCGTCCCCCACCTGAATCTACTGAATCTTCTGGCAAACACATTCATGATTTATATGCTTTCATTACGAGAAAAACTGTCATGGGTAATGAAAATTACAAACTTGATACTGATGTACATTGTTATGTGAATTACACTAACCTCCCTTGACATGTTGTGGTTTTTTGCAGTGGCCAACAGTTAATAGGTTATGCAAGTATGTGTGGGTTTTTGCGGTGAACTCTCAATCTAGAACGCTAAAAACGTGTCCAAAATCTTGTAATTCAAGTTCTCAGATCAAGAAGACATGAGTTTCAAAGCCTATGAAAGAGTTGTAGAAATCTAGGCTTGCATATGTCTTTCAGAGTTGCTGAATTTGTGTGCTTCTATGAAAAGAAGTCCAAAGCCAACTATATATTAGGTTATTAGAAAATGAAATTTTGGCAGACTCTTGCACATTTGCTTCAGTGTAGCTTGCTTTATCTCTGCTAAAAAAGGCTTCAAGCGCCCTTTCAAGTGGAGCTTTCATGATCTTTGCAGACAGGGTCTCCTTTCGAACTACTTCTGGTGCGCTTCGGGTGAAGCTTGCAAGATCTCTATAGGCCGCTCATCAGAGTGCTTGAGTGGACCTCTTCAATGTTTGTTGTTTTTGCCCTGTTTCAAAACCATTGTTCACCAAGTAAAAATATAGGAACAACTAAGATGCATTTTGAAACCTTGTGTGTCCCAAGTCTAACGCAAGTGTTCATGCAAGGATAACTTTGTACTTGATCAACGAAGCCTTGCATAAATTGTGAACCAATCTTCAAACTGCAATTCACTAAATTGGAATCAAACCTAGCTACCGCCTAACTTGAACACAATGTTAGATAGCTTGATATACATTGTTGAGTCCATTTCCTAATAACTTAGACTTTTGGGAAAATTGGTAACTTAACACGGTATCAAAGCTTTGGAGAGAGGTTTCGGGTTCAGGTCTCTCCGTTAGCATTTGGTATTATGTCCCCGTTTGGTTTCTTCTTCTCTATTTGGTTGTTTGCTTCTCTTTCTATTTGTCTCTCCACGTGCAAAACGGGTTGCACGTGAGGGTGGGTTTTAGATAGCTTGATATACATTATTGAGCCCATTTCCTAACAACTTAGGCTTTGGGGAAAATTGGTAACTTAAACACACAATACATCAACTCAAGGTTTTGTCAAAAATGGGTGTTGTTAGCCTAGTCTATATTCTGTAACTTATCTGAACCTCTATGTCCAGGGCTTCAGGTTGCAAGTTACACCAGCGAGGTTACACCAACCTGTCTAATATTGATGTAGACTTGCATGGGCTAAGTGCCACAGGCCGACAAGTTTGTTAGAGAAAGACATTGTCACTTCTCTCTTCTGGTTGGGCTAATATGGAACTTGCTGCCCTCATCCTCTGTGGTCCCACCTGGCTAGCACTCTAGTCAGCAAGCTTAATACCCCAAGGGTCTCTTGAAGTTGTTGATCGTTTGATGTTTATGTCACATTGTTGACGTCAATCTAGTTCTTAGAGTTCTATTTGCACTACCATGGACCTTGCACATAACATAGAATTATTGTTGTGGTTTGGAGAGCCCCAAATCACGTGTGCTATGTATCTCTTTTGTTACCTTTCATTTGTGCTCAAGTCAATGGCCAAGTGTCACGTACCGACTCATTAGGAATGCAAGTTCTACACCAAGCATCTTGCAAGCACATTAGTTTGTGAGCGGCAAGGCAGGCAGGGTAGATCCCTATCGCATCTCCTGGGTTGGTCTTTGGGCATAATGTACGGGGGTATGTAGTACCACTCGTGGAGTCGGCTTCTCATGAGGATGACAAGCGCCCAATCCGTGACAAGTGGTATCAGAGCCAGCCTAGGAGCCCTGTGATGGGGACGATGTTAGAATAAATGTTGTATTCTGTTTTCTATTTTTCCGAATTAGAGGCGTGATTGTGTTAGAGCCCTAGTAGAGACATAATTGTATTTTCCTTTTTGGTTTAGGATTTAGGGCTATATAATCTAAGGTCTGTTTGTAATCATTGACACAATTGAATATACAGAAATACAGAAATCTTACATGGTATCAGAGCCAAGTTTCGAAATCGTAGCAGCCATTGTTAAAGCTTTTCTGTTTCGTTGAACTCTCAGGTTCAACCTTGTGAATACGCGTGATCCATCCTATTCGAGATTGGGTTCGGTTCATTTGGTCTCTGATCAAATCGATCCTGGTCTCTCTGTCTCTTCTTCAGATCTTCAGTCGGATGCTCTCCGTTGTCTCGCCATCACGATCGTGGTTGATCGCCATCGCGATCGTGGTCGACTGCTCTCTCTGGTTCAGATACTCAAACACACATATCTGGTTCGTGGGTCTTGATCTCTCTCTTGGGTCACGGTTCATCTGCTTCGTCATCTGCGGCTCTGTTTGTCTCTCTGTGTTCGTGTTTTTTTTTTGACTCTATAGTACTATTCTTTGGCTCTGTTTGTCACTTGTAAAATTTTATTTACAGTTTGGCTCTTGGTATTTAGTATTATCTTTCAACCTGTTAAGCCTTGCTTTATTATAATGTCGGAAGATAAAATCCAAGCTATTAAATTTAAACTTACAAGTGACAACTACGCTTATTGGTCCAGTGTTATGAGAAATTTTTTTCTTGGTCGAAAAAAATGGGGATATGTTTCTGGCTCTATTCTCCGTCCATCGGATCCCAAACAAGAAGAATATCTGCTTTCCTATGACACTTGGGATTGTGATAATGCTCAAGTTTTGACCTGGTTTCATAACTCTGTGGATAATCGTATTGGGATGATGTTCTCTAAATATAGCATTGCCAAAGAGGTGTGGGATTACTTGCAAAGTGTTTATCAGCAGTCGAACTTTGCCAAACGGTATGAGTTGGAAATAGCTATTTAGTGAGCTCGTCAGCGGGATCTGTCTATTCAAGATTTCTACATTGAGATGACAGGCCTCTGGGATCAGTTGGCCCTCATGGAACCATCTAGCCTCAAGACACTAGATGTTTATGTTGAGTTTCGAGAGCAAGGTCGTTTAATGTAGTTCTTAACAGCTTTCTCCCCTCAGTATGAGGCGATCCGTAGTGGCATCCTTCACTGGTCTCCTTTCCCCTCTGTGGATGCTATTGTTCGCGAGCTCCTCTCCGAAGAAACCCGTCTTAAGACGGCCAGTCAGACTCTGTCTCCATATTTCTTCTTGGCTCCTACTCCGTCTCCTCTGCTGTCGAACCCCCAACCTCATCAGCCTCAGACCAATGCAAAGCCCAAGAAGGGGCCACTAGCATCTGACGAGTGCTTTCTGCCATCAGAAAGGCCATTGGAAGTACAATTGTCTCAAGAAGGGCCGTCAGTCTGCTTAGTCTTCTCAGCCGCTTCAGCCACAGTCCCGAGGTCCTGCTCCGAGTACTTTTCGCCCTTTTGTTGCTTATATTGCCTCTGCCCCGACTTCTGATCCTGACTTGGCTTCCTTGAGTACCCAAGTTGCTCAGCTCCAGCATCTCTAGTCCACCTCTCAATCATCTTCATCTGTCTCTGCTCCCACCTCTCTTCATTCAGGTTTGCTTGGGTTCTCTTCAGGTATTTCTTCCTCTGTCTGGCTTTTTGACTCTGGTGCCTCTCATCATATGACTCATCACCTTTCCTTACTCTAAAATTGTATCCTCCTTCCTTTTCCTATTACTATCAATACTGCTAATGGGTCTGGTATGTCTGTCTTATCTATTGGGCCTGTTTTACCCTTTGCTATGTCTACTGTTACTATTCCCTCTGTTCTTTATGTTCCTCAACTGTCTGTTAGCTTGCTTTCTATCAGTCAACTTAATGCTTCTGGTTTTGATGTTATCTTTTCTTCTTCTATCTGTTGTTTGCAGGATCGGGTGTCTAAGAAGCAAATTGGGATCGGCCGTAGAGTTGAAGATCTCTATGTAGTGGAAAGCTTGTATCTTCCTCAGTCTACCTCCCCCGTTGCACTTTCATCTTTTCAGTTAGATTCTCAGTCGAGTCAGTTTTATTTATAGCATTCTCGCTTAGGTCATTTGTCTGTTGACCGCTTGCGATCTTTAGCTTAGTCAGGATTGTTAGGTAAAGTTTCTCCTAGTCAAATTAATGAGCGTCGAGGATGTAAATTTGCTAAAATGACAGCCTTACCTTTTAATAACAGTACTTCTATTTCTACTTCCCCTTTTTCTCTTGTATATATTGATGTTTGGGGATCTTCTCCTATTCTCACTAAAGGGGGTTCTGCGTATTATGTGTCATTTGTTGATGATTGTACCCGCTATACCTGGGTTTCTCTTATGGCTCATCAATTTGACATCTACCAGATATATTGTACCTTTCAGTCTATGATCACTACACAGTTTGAGGCCACAATTAAAATCCTTTGGTCTGACTTGGGTGGGGAATACTTTAAAACAGAATTCTGTTAGTATTTGGCCAAATTTGGCACCATTCACCAAACCTCTTGTACTGATAGCCCTGCCCAAAATGGTCGTGCTGAGCGTAAACACCGTCATCTCCTTGAGACAGCTCGATCTCTTCTTCTCTCTACCTCTGTTCCAGCACCACTCTGGGGTGAGGCAGTTCTTACCGCTGCTTTCCTCTTTAATCGCATGCCGACTCCCTTAATCGTGCTGGTCTTACTGATACTAAGGTTTCTGATACACCTATTGAGCTTAATGTGAAGCTTAACTCTACTGATGGTGTTTCTCTGGATGATCCCACTTTATATCGCGAGCTTGTGGGTTGTTTAGTTTATCTGACTGTCACTCGCCCTGATCTTGCTTATGCCGTTCATGTGGTTACTCAGTTGGTTTCTGCTCCTCGCTCTACCCATTAGGCTGCTTTGGTTCGCATTCCTCGTTATCTCCGAGGTATCATTTTTCAGGGCTTATTGTTGTCCTCTACTTTCTCTTTGGACTTGGTGGCCAAGTTGACTCTGATTGGGCTGGGGATGTTACTGATTGCAAATCTACGTCTGGTTTCTGTATGTTTCTTAGAGATTCCTTGGTCTCTTGGAAAAGTAAGAAACAATCAGTCGTTGCTCACTCTACTGCCGAAACTGAGTATCGTGCTATGGCTTATGCCACTGCTGAGATTGTTTGGCTTCGTTGTCTCTTGTCTGATTTGGGTGTCTCTCAATCCTCCCCGACCGTTCTCTATTGTGACAACCGCAGTGCTGTTTAGATTGCCCACAATACTGTCTTTCATGAGCGGACGACACATGTTGAGATTGATTGTCACTTTGTTCGCCAGTATCTGCAGTTTGCCTCTATCTCGCTTCCTTTCATCTCTTCGGCTTTGCAACTTGTAGATTTCTTCACCAAGACTCACACTACAATCCGGTTTCAGTTTCTTCTTAGCAAACTCTCAATTTTTTCTGCTAAAACACCTTGAGTTTGAACGGGGGTGTTAGAATAGATGTTGTATTCTATTTTCTATTTTTCCGAATTAGAGGCGTGATTGTGTTAGAGTCCTAGTAGTGACATAATTGTATTTTCTTTTTTGGTTTAGGATTTAAGGCTATATAATCTAATGTATGATTGTAATCATCGACACAATTGAATATACAGAAATACATAAATCTTATAGACGGTACGTAGGACTTCCACTAAGCACCTTTATTGTAAGGTCCGCACCAAGGGTGGTGTCCGCGAGGAGCGGGTTTCCTGTGGGTAGGGGAACGGACAAGCATGGAGGCAGGCAGGGTAATGTCTCCCTGACGAGGGCATCAGGGACTAGCGGTGGTAGCATATCACGTACCGACTTATTAGGGATGCAAGTTCTACATCAAGCACCTTACAAGCGCATTAGTTTGTTAGCGGCAAGGCAAGCAGGGTAGATTCCTATCACATCTCCTGGGTTGGTCTTTAGGCATAATGCACGAGGGTATGCAGTATCACTCGTGGAGCCGGCTTCTCGGAAGGATGACAAGCACCCAGTCCGTGACAAGTAGCATCAGTACCAGCCTAGGGGCACTGTGATGAGGATGGTACGTGGGACTTACACCAAGCACCTTTATTGTGGGGTCTGCGCGGGGCGGGTTTCCCATGGGTAGAGGAATGGACAAGCATGGAGGCAGGCAGGGTAATGTCTCCCTGACGAGGGTGTCAGGGACTGGCGGTGGTAGCATGTCACATACCGACTCATTAGGGATACGAGTTTTATACCAAGCATCTTGCAAGCGCATTAGTTTGTGAGCGGCAAGGTAGGTAGGGTAGATCCCTATCGCATCTCCTGGGTTGGTCCTTGGGCATAATGCACGGAGGTGTGCAGTACCACTCGTGGAGCCAGCTTCTTGGGAGGATGACAAGCGCCCAGTCTGTGACACAAGGCATCCCTATCAGCCTCCTGGTGTGGGTTCATGAGGTGATGGCATGTTTCACGGTGATGCAGCCACATGCTTGATGTTTTAAAATGTGCATTCTCATTAGTTTTGTGATAATAGAACTTGTGGATTTTTTTGTTGTTTGTTTTTTGGTACTTGCTTTTGATGCAACCACAAAATAAAAGTTAGTAAATTTTTGATAAGCTGAATGATATGACGAGGAATTGAGGACAAGAATATATTTGGTAGCAAGTGACTGGGGGTTTTATATAGTATAATATTTTTTATTCAAAAACTTTAAACTCTGAGTGGCATGTGTTTTTATGTGTACTGGCTTTTATAGGAATTTTTTATGATTGATGATAATTTCACTGTTGTGTTAAAAACTAATTATTGCTCTCAATGCTCATCATGCTTGAGTTATGATGCATGATGTTTTCTAACATTTGTTTTTCTATATGGTGGTGTTTGTGGTTATTTTACTTTCAAGTTTGTCTTCAGGCAACTAAGAATGTTATTGGAGTTGTTGAAAGCATTTAGTATTTTTTTCCTGGTGCTAGGACGGTTGCCAAAACTACAGAAGACGGATAGATTGCTTATGTGCTGGTGGCTTTTCACGGGCCTGACCCATATGATCCTTGAGGGTTATTTTGTTTTCTCTCCGGAATTTTACAAGGATAAGACTGCCTGTTACCTGGCAGAAGTTTGTGAGTTATTATTTTTATTTTTTATTTTTTGACTTGGAACTTTTGATCACTTTACAACATTAAGGTGTTTGATGGTGTTTGTGAATTAAAATTGGTAGGAGAATACAGCAAAGGTGATTCAAGATATGCAGCAAGGGATTCTGGAGTTGTCGCTGTTGAAGGAATAACTGCTGTTTTAGAGGGCCCAGCTTGCCTTCTAGCAGTGTAAGTTGTAAAGTTAGATTACCATTTAACTTTATAATGCCACATGAATTAATAAGATTCATTCAGATCATGTTAGCCTCGAATGGACATGTGTGAATACATTCTCATCTCCTCCATGGCACAATCTTATAGTAGCACGATTGGATGGTTCCTTGCAGGTATGCTATTGCCACAAGAAAGTCATACAGCTACATTCTTCAAGTGGTCATTTCTCTTGGGCAGCTCTATGGAACTGCTGTATATTACATAACTTCTTACTTGGAAGGGGATAACTTTGCCGCAAGCTTATATTACTATTATGCCTATTTCATCATTGCAAATGCTTCTTGGGTTGTAATACCAACACTAATAGTTATAAGGTGCTGGAAGAAGATATGTGCAGCATTCCAGGTCCAAGATAAAACGAAGACCAAAATTCGCTAAGGAGGAATTTCGACTGCCATTTCAAAATTTGGATTTCATTGAATAGGGAAGATTTTTGGATAATTTGAGATTGCCTAATTACTTGCGTTGATTTTATGTTTTTTGTTTGATTTTTTCCCCATTGGGGAATCCATTGACATCAACTTTTATCATGGAAACCAGTATTTTTTTCACCTGAAATTTATTTTTTAAATTGGTGTATGACTAATTTCATTAGTGATGCTAATTTTTTTTTTTTAAAAAAAATAAAAAAATAAAATAATGAATGATCACAATGATGTTTCATCCTTGGTTTTGTTTGGTGGGTCAAGTGTTTCTACTCTTGGAGGGCAATGATTGGAGGCTTCCAAGAAATGCCGCTAAGTATTACTTCACCCTTTTTGTCATGTTATGCTTGATGGGGAAGTTGCATATTTGAGAGATACTAATTAGTAGCTCTGGGAAATTAAGGTAAACTTGGACTCTGCATATTTCATTTCATTGATTCACGAAATTATATCACTTTTTTTTTTTTTTTTTTGATCCGTGAAAGTATATCACTGTCCTTGTGTTTCTGTGGAGGAAATTTGACAGAGACCAATGGCACACAAACAAATGAAGTTTATAATTGTTTTTTTTTTTTTTTAAAAAAAAGAAAGTAAATTATGCTTTTCATACTCCAACTTTCATCCAAATTTCAATTCCATCCCTTATCTTCTAATTGTAGCAGTTAACTTTTCAAATTTTAATTTTTGTTTCAAGGCAGTCATTTCGCCACTCACCTTTTATAAAATGGATGGAAGTGTTCAAGTGATATTCATGTAAGCATGTTTTAAGGGCATTTTAAAAGGGAAAAAATTATGAAAAAAATATAGGCTTTGTTTGGTTTAGATTTTTTAGAAGAGTTTCAAGTTCTAAGTTGTATTTTGAAATATAAGTTGTTAAAAAGAGTTTTGAAAATTGAAATTTTGTTTAGTTATGAATTTTAAAAATAATTGTGGAATGGTTTGTATATATATATATATATATATTGGTAGTTGAATAGATAGATGTGAGAGCAAATTTGATTGATTGATGTGTAGAATATTTAAGTGTGTAGAATATCATTGATTGGTTAGAGCATCTCCAACGGTGTACCAAATGTTTCACCAAATCTGAGTAAAAAAGGGGTCATTTCCTTAATTTGATACTTCGCGCTCCAACGGTTCAACATCAAATCCGTTTCATCAAATTTGCGCTGGGCAACCGGTTGGTTGACCGGCCGGTCACCCCGCCAAGCATTGCCAATATTTGAAGATACAGACCTGGCCAGGCTGAGTGCCGCCCCTTTTTCCCTGGAAATAGAGACAACACCTTGAACCTTTTTTTTTTGAATTTTTTGAACTTCGGGTGGTCGACCACCTAGGCAAATTTTTTTTTTTTTTTTAACTGGTTTGAACCTTTTTGTGAACGGTCTGAACTTTTTCCGGGGCGACCGGTTGGTTAACCGGTTGGTCAACCGGATGGTCGACCCGTTCGTCTCATCCTAACGGTTAGGAACAGTGATTTGCTGAAATGCTTCGCCTGCACTCAGTTTGGTACCATTTTTGCTGAATTCTGGATTTGATATCGATTTGGTGAAACCGTTGGAGCTTAAAAAAGTGGCTTTTTCACCAAATTTTAAATTTGATGGCAGGTTTGATTCACCGTTGGAGATAGTCTTAGACCATCTCCAACGTTGCATCAGATTGAGCATCAGATTTGAATTTGATGAAAAAAGTTTTTTTTTTTCTCCAATAGTTTCACCAAACTGATATCAAATTAAGAACGGAGCAAAAGTTTCATCAAATTGTGGATCTGCGTGAGATTTGACCATTTTATTGTTCGGTAACGTTGGAGTGATGCCCACCGGTCGACCAGTCGGACGTCCGGCCAGTTAATCCACCGGTCGACCGGTATATGTATACCTGCTCAGGCCCGGCCCTAAGGGCAGGCCAAAGAAGCCTGCGCCTTGGGCCCCCAGATTTGGGCTGAAAATAGGGCCCCAAAATATGATTTTGTGTTTTAGATATAAAAAAAAAAATCCAAAATACTATAAACCCAAATTGTATATGGGGCTTAAAAAAAATATATATATCATGATAGATTAGAGGCCTAACTGACATGGGCCCAAAAACAAGAAACACATTATAATTTATAATATCCACCCTGAGGCTAAGAACATAGGTCACTGAAAGAAAAGAAACATGGAAAGAAAAACATCTCTCTCTCTCTCTCTCTCTCTCTCTCTCTCTCGTATTAGACTAATCTCTCTCTTGCATGGACTGATGAAACCTTCAGTCCTCTCCTCTTCTCCATATTTGACGGACGCTGAGCATTAACAATTTTGGGCGTCAAAACCGTGAGTCTCTCTCTCTCTCTATATATATATATATCACATTTAAATAGAGGAAGTTTTTACCCTAATTTTTTCCCTAATTTCTTGCCCTAATTTTCCCCCTAATTTTACTCCTAATTTCTTGCCCTATATAATTTGTTCTTTAAATTAGAAAATTACCTAATTTATGTGCTTTAGTGGAAGTCTATAATTTTTGTTATGCTCTAATTCTGAAAGTATATTATTTGCAGAGATCAGTGATTGTGAATTTGTGTGGATTTGTGATTATATAGAGTAGTCATGCCTCTGAGGAAGTATATTTCTAGATGTGAAAAAAGGAAAAAGAAACAAAAATTAGAAAATTTTATTCAATCTCAATCGGGAGCGCTTGATAATTTTTTTGGTAGCAAGAAACAAATAGAAAGTTCATGTTTGGTTGATGAAGATTTGGTAATTGAAGAACTTAATCAATGTAATATGAATGATAATGAAGATTTGGGTGTTGAAGAGCCTATTGAATGTTTGAATGAGAATGAAAATGAAGATTTGGCTACAAATAAATAAAAAAAGTTGTTGTAACTTATCATTTTATCTATCATTTTTTTTTTAATGTAAGAAAGGTTCCATTTCCCAAGGTCGCCTTGGGCCCCCTAAATCTCAGGGCCAGCCCTGACCTGCTTCAATCTACTTCAATTTTTGGTTGGCCTATGAACTGATTAAAATGTTACTAAAATAGAGGGATCTGACAAAGGAAATGTTGATTTTCTACCCTTCAACAAACTGACTACTCACGATGATGATGATGCTATCCCACAATCGAAACCTGGGTAACTATTTGTTCTTCCCCAAGAAACTGATTAGTCTTAAGAGCTTTCTTTCTTGAATTTCTTGAATCTTTTCTATCTGTATACGAAGGCATGTTTATATACCCACATATACAATATGTTTTGAAAAAATTGCTTGTATGCAAATTCCATTGAAGAATAACAAATTTGTTTATCAGTTAAGTATATTGTGAGTTTTTTTATTCCAATTCCTTCCATTTTCTCGGCTACCAAAGAGAGACCTGGGGTTTTCACCTTTGTGATCTTTCTTTTACTATCTTTTGCACTCATTCATGGATAAAGAGTCACTAACAAATTAATTTGTTGAAGTAAGCCCTGATGTTTTTTGTTCCATATAGCCTTTTTGTCCCTTTTGCAGAATCAGCTTTTCCTGATTGAATTTGTCATAGGAGAGGAATCTGAGACCAATTACCTTATTCATGAATTCGAGCAGAAAAAAAAAAAATTTTGAGTACTCGGTCGACTGGCCGGTCGACCTACCGAACGTCCCCTTCGCTTTGATGCACACAACAGTGGAACGATTGGAGCTGCTCGTATAAGATTGAGAAAATTACCTTTTTTTTTACGCAGATTTGGTGAAAATTTTACTGAACCGTTGGAGATACTCTTACATATCCATTTATATGTAATCAACAGTGCTAGAAATAAACTGTTTTCTATTTCTAAATAATGAGGACTCATTTGGTCTATTCCATATGAGATTATAGTTCCTCCAACGACCTCGATATTAAGGGTGATGCTATGGTACATTTGGATGTACCATACATCAGTTATGAGGATATGTGATTTTATATTATAACTAATATCATATAGATCATAACCATTATCATATTAACTCATAACTTAGTTATATTTAGTTATTCATACATACCATATTATCTCATAGCTACCACATAACTAAATTATTTTAATAATTTAATTTTAAATTGGCAACTGATGTAACCGATTACCAAAAAGAGGGCAAAGGAAATCAGAGGAGTACAGGGATCCCAACATCACATATCTCGTAACCACTAGTTACATATCTCATAGCCAACATCACATATCTCATAATTACTAGTCACATATCTCATAACCAACACATTTTTTTCATAACCAACATCATATATCTCATAACCACTAGTCACATATCTCACAATTAACACAATTTTGCTCATAACCACACCATTTTGTTCATAACCAATATCACATATCTCATAATCATTTATCACATATCTCAAAACTATTACCCACATGAATCATAATCACATCTCATAACCAATCCCTTTGAGTCAACCAACATCACATATCTCATAACCACTAATCATTTATCTCATAACTAACAACATTTTTGCTCATAACTACACCACTTTGATCATAACCAATATCTCATATCTCATAATCACTAACACATATAGCATAACCAAACACCCTTTGACACCACTTTGCTCATAATCAAAATCACATATCTTATAATTACTAATCAAATATCTCATAACCATTACCTACATATCTCATAACCGACATCACATATATCATAACTACTAATTACATATCTCATAACTACACTACTTTGATCATAACCAACATTGCATATCTCATAACCACTAATCACATATCTCATAACCAAACACCCTTTGACTTATAACTGCATCACTCTGCTCATAATCAAAATCACATATCTAATAATCACTAATCATATATCTCATAACCTTTACCTACTTATGTCATAATCACATCTCATAACCAACATTATTTGCCTCATAACCAACCTCACATATATCATAACCACTAATCACATATCTCGTAACTATTACTCATATATAGAGGTGTAAATTTGGCCCACAAGCTCGCGGCACACCCCAAGTCCAGAAATTACTCTCTCTCTCTCTCTCTCTCTCTCTCTCTCTCTCTCTCTCTCGCGTTTGCGCGTGCTAAAGAAAGGGTTTAAGGATTTTTCAAACACAATTAATGAGGGAATTTTGATTTTGACAAAATTTGGATGTTTGATCCAAATTTTTGGAAAAAATGGGGCCAGA